GGATCACCGGCCGAGGGACCTAAGCCCTGGTCTTACGGCTTCTCAAGGGAGACTACCCGAAGGTACGTTCTATAGCTACGGGGACAACCGTACGGTGGCCGATACAGCTCACACCGAAGGCTACATGTGTCACATGCATACTTTGATCATACCACAATTAAAACAGTAATAACATTTAAAGCATAGTAATTTTACAATTACAACCCACCTGGTTGGAACCAACAGATTACACGAAAATACAAGTACGTTGAGAGCTCGGCTTGTCAAACACCTACAATAATTAGGATAGTCTCATAAATATACTACCTTGAAAGAATTATTCATGATAATTTATACTTAGTCGAACATCGTCGACTAAGTAGTTCGTGGAATCTTGTGGAATTTGGAACTCTCAGATTTTATGAAAAACTTGGGAAAATAATTTAATAAGGTGAAAAATGGTTTCTACATGAAGAACGAGGCCAAAGGTTCAAAGATAGTCAACCAGCTCGGAAGACGACTAACATAACTAAGAATAACTTAAACAATTTCAATGATGGAGAAACCAACATGGAATTGAAGTGTCACACAATCAATACAAAAGGACCACATTTAAGAAATAAAAATACATTAACACATATCAGATACAAGAATCTTACACACTCGAGTTGCATGCTACCATAAGTTGTTTTATCATTCAGGTCTCGCAGAACGATGATATATATAGAGATGCTAGCAGTATTAGGTGGTGTTTATGTTTAAGATAAAAGCATAATCAAGCATAAAAGTACATGCTCACATGTGGACATTCATTCTGAATTCAATAATCATGGATTTGCATTGCCAATAATGATAAATATCTATCTATAATTTTATGACAATAATAATTCAGTCTAAATGCATGCAGAAACAACTTGCGGAGGTTTGTGACCATTACCAATAATTTCATTTTTTTTTCCAAGTATAAAAGCAGTTTATGATAGTTTTGTAACAATACTAAATTTGAAACAAATCAAATCTCTCGTCCTTGCAACCATAAGTTATCAGAGAAAAACAGAAGGAACAGAAAGCCAAGCAGGAAAGATTATTTTGGATTGGATTATGAAAAAATTAAATAAAAAAGAATGCCAAAACAAAATGCCTAATCTTTTCAGAAATTAGAATTCTACACATACTTTGTTTTCCTGAAGCAACCAAAATCAAGTAATATAGATATATTAAACTGAACCTGCACATGCCACATTAACTTATTAATAACATCCTTTCCCCTAAATAATAAAACTAACAACCTCCTCTTACTGGAAAGCAAGGCAGTACCAGAGTGTTTTATATATCACAAACAAACTATAGCAATTCAAATTCATTACTGCAACAATCAATTCGGGTCGCCCAGAATAAATATCCATTAGCAAGATATTAGTACAAATTCCCATAGAGCAACTAAAACAAAATACATACTTTAACCTAGCATTTCCCAAATATGTCGGCAAAACAACGATGAATTTTCAAGGCTCGGCAAGATAACGAACGCATAACAAACCAAGAAGAAGGATCGGACTAAACCATATATATATATGAATCAAGGCTCGATTTCAACAATAAAAGGCATCGAATGAGAGTTTCAAATTCCACGCTTTCTTTCCACAAGGAACGACCAATAAGAACCAAAATAATTCAAACTAAAATCAACGGTTTCAGATTCGACGAGTGCGTACTAAAGCACAGTTTCAACAGGAGCATAAAATAAGGAAGTTCAAATGATTTATACCTTCCTTCGGGAATCTACACGCTCAATTGAAAAGCGGATAAAACTAATAAAACGAATAGAGACCTCGAAGGCTCGAAATCTCTCGAACACGGCGTTGCTCGCGAGAGGGGCTGCCACTGTCAGTCACTCGCGGCTGGGGTTCGGCATTCGGTTGTCGCTCCGAACATTGAACGGTCATGGCAAAGCTCGATAAATCCCGACTTTATGAATCGGGGCTGCTGCTGCTACAACACAAAAAGGTCGTTGCTGCTTCTCGGCTGAAAAAAAGATTGGTCGTTTCGCTGCTCGAAATAAAAGCGCCAACGAGGGTTGACGTTGAAAAAGGTCGCTAGTTGCTCTCTACTTCACCGGCGAGGGTTGTGAACAGAATCCGATGGGGAGCTGCTGGACAGGGGGCCTGCTGTTGCTTTCTGGCCCACAACAACCCCGGCTGCTGCTCATGGACATCATCGATGAAGGTTGGGATCTACTCGATGAAGCAGGATTCAGGGCGGACTTCTGTGAATAGGAGGAACCGGCGTGGCTCGCCAGTGGAAGGACACTGATGAAGGGTTTCTGCTCGCCGGCCAAAGTACGGGTTGGCCAACAAAGGGGCTGCTATCCGACAGAACAAGGTGTTGAAGCTGCTCGCTGCAACTCGACTACTCGTGGCGCAGAACAAACGGTCAGCGACGACAATAAGGGTTGTTGCGCGCCGCTGAACAAGGCCGACGAAGGTACGACTGTTGTTCCAACTTCAGGCGATGGCGTACAGCTCGAATTCCTCTCGCCTGGCTGCTACTTGTCTCAAGGTAAGGGGCTGGGATTGTTGTCGGTGAACGAAGCCCGCGGGGAAGAAAGGGATTCACCGGCTATAGAGGGGAATTCCTCGATAGGAACAGACAAACCTCCGTTGGGTTTCTCGGCAAGCAAGGGCTGATCGATCGGGATGTCTGAGATGAGGGTGACGAATGATGGAGTTCTACTCGATATACGGGGGCGACGAACAATCTGAGAGATGAGAGGATTTGGGAGAAATTTCGATCAATTGCATAGGCGTAAAATAGGGTTATCCAATTCTGATAAAGTCTCCAAAGGAATGAAGTAGGCATGAGATTGGGTCAATAAAGTGGCTGAAAAATCTTAACTTTTGGGCCGAGACTTATACAATTTGGGCCGAAAAATTCAAAAAGTGTGGACCCGGAGTTCTAATGCTTATGATATTCGGGCTCGGTTCGATTGCACGGTTTAGATAAAAATAAATAACGATATTATATATATATAATACAGACAATAATATTTGTTGATTAATATTAATAATAATATCAATAATAACAATTAGGCATTTAATTAAAAATAACAAGCAATTAGGATAATAAACAATTAAAAACAATTAGACAAACAATAAATAATTATTATGTAACAATAATAAATAGAATAAATAATTCTAAATAATTTTCCAATAAACGGGGCGTTACAAGATCGTTATGGCTCAAGGAAGGTGATAATAACACGAATTTCTTCCATGCATTCACACTTCCAAGAAGAAAGCAAAATGCCATTTCCAGAATTATAAGAGATGACCAAACAGTATACTCCACCAGAGAAGAAATAGTTGATTGCCTCACAGCTTTCTACCAAAATCTATTCAAATCAAGAGGGTCAACTGATATTGATAACATCCTCAATTACATTCTTGTCGCCATTACTGCAGCTCAAAATACTAATTTAGTGGCCCAAGTGATAGAGGAAGAGATAAAGAATGCCTTATTCAACATGCACCCAGAGAAAGCCCCTGGTTAGGATGATATGACACCTGCTTTCTTTCAAAATTGCAGGAGTATCATTAATAAATATTTGTGTGAAGTTGTTTTTATCTTTTTTGAATTCTGGGCATTGACTGAGGAACTGGAACCTTACTTTAATCTCACTCATCCCCAAATGTCAATTGCCTATTACTGTTGGGTATTACAGACCTATAATCTTATGTGGGGTCATTTACAAAGTGATTTCAAAAGTTCTTGCTGATAGACTAAAGCCCTGCTTGTCTTCATGCATTAGCAATACACAGACAACTTTCACTCCTGATAGGCAGCTGCTTGACAATGTAATAATTGCACAAGAAGTCTTTCACTTCCTTAATAGGCATAGAAATGGCTCTAAGAGGTATTAGACAAGGGGATCCCATTTCCCCCTATATGTTCCTCTTGGTGTCAGAGAGATTATCTTGCCTAATTCAGCATGAAATGAACATGCTAAAAATATCAAGGCAAGGGCCTACACTCAGTCACCTGTTCTTTGCTGATGACTCATTACTTTTCTGCCAAGCTACTACTGATTCTGCTAACCTTATTCTGGGAATGTTGGAAAAATATAAGAGCTTGATAGGTAAGCAAGTTAACATGGTGAATTCTTCAGTCTTCTTCAGCAAGAACACTCCTGAAGCAGTGCAAAGAGACATTTGTAACACCCTGTAGGGCATCACAGTGCACCATTCCTCTAGATACTTGGGCTTACCACTTGGCATTGGAAGATCCAAAGGAGAAACTTTCAGATATGTTGTGGATGTTGTCAAGAATAAACTTCTAAGCTGGAAGAACAAATTCCTATCAGGGGCTGGTAAAGAAATCTTAGTAAAATCTGTTCTCAGTGCTCTCTCAGTTTTCACCATGTCATGCTTTTTTTTGCCTGTGGGTTTATGCAAAGAGATTTCACAACTTTTTGCCCAATTCTTGTAACACCCAGATTTTATATTACTATTTATGGAGCTCGACTATATTTCCATAAATATTAAGCTTCTAAATTTGATGCATTTAGTATATTAATGTGCATAAAATAAATAAATAATATTAAAGTCTAAGCCATGAATAATTCATTCGATTTTAATTGTTAAAGTTGAAATTTTATTTAAGCAAACCGAAGCCGAATAATTTAATTATTCGAGCCCAATTAATTTTGAGCGAATCCAATAATTTTAGTCGGCCATTTTAATTCGAATAGTCGAATTAATTTCCAAGACCAAGCGATATTTTAATATCGAGCCATCGTAGTACTTTAATTTTCGGGCCCATTGTTAGTAATTATTTCGACCGACTAATTTAATTAGTCCTAGTTCAATTAATATTATTTAGCAAGCCCGAGCATTTAATTTCCTAAGTTCATATTCGATTTATATTCGAGCCCAACTCCTAGGATTTATGGCCCGATTCCTTAGCCCAATGTTGAGGTCCAACAAGATGACCGAACCCTAATCCCTCCCTCATTCTATAAATAGCACATGTCTCCTATTTTCCAACAAAAAAACCCTAGCCCCCGCTCCACTATTCATCATCATCTTTTTTCAAAATTCAAGATCAGAACATTTCACCTTCATTATTCAAGATCTAGTTGCAAAAATCCAAAACCCACTTTCAAAACACCAAGAAAAAAGAAGCTTTCTTCCATCTCCAACATGTCTTGAGCTATTTCCGGCGAGACCATCTATTTTTCGGCGAACCACCGGCCGGCGACCCCAGTCCAAGCTCAGTCCGACTCCAGCTCCTCGTACACAGGCCCGTTCAGTAAACTCCAGCTCAAATCTGCGAAGCCCGAGCTGTTTTCTCGTCGAGCCCGCAGCCAAGCTTCGTCGTCCGTACAAGCCGCGCCACCCACTCAGACCGACGACCCATGTTCTTCCTTGCTCGACCCTGCAACTCGGCGACCGTACATCTGGGCCAGCAACACGTCACACACGCTCGAACACCAGCAGCTCCTATTCACGCGCGTCTCCGCCACCAACCGAGCCCAGCACCTCCGGCGACTGTCCACGCCGGCGTTCACCTCGCAGCTCTCCGTCGTGTCACTGTAGCAGTCGGTCCCAGCTCACCCGCGTGACCCCACCTGCGCGCCATTCACGTCTAACACGACTGCAAATCACAGCCCCGCCGTCGTAGGCCCTATTCCAGCGAGTCAACGCCAGAAATTGCGAGTTCCACCTACTTTTACTGTTCACGCGCTTCCAGCAACACCTTGAGTCCAGTTATAGCAGCCCTCAATCCAAGAACCCATCCCCACAGCTCAAGATTTGAACCCATTTGGTTTTCTTGACCCGGTTCTAGCCCGATCTACTATTGTGCTATCCCGATCCACTCGTTTTCGATCATTGTGTGGTATAATAATTAGAACTCGATTATAATGGCTTAGATAAAATATTTGAGATGATATAAAATTAATGAATTGGGTGATTTGAGCTATTTTGAATAAATCGTGATTTTTGGGCTTAAAGCTAATATGTTCGAATTTTCAAATAAATGCGATAAAATGTTGAAATAAATACCATTAAATTCGTTGCGTCGTTTTGAGGCTTAAGTGTGAATTTGAGATTTTTCGGACATCGTTTGATAGGTAAACGAGCCGGTCAAAATGCGTTAACCGGTCGTAGCGATTCCTTTAGTTGACTGAGTTAGGAGTTGACTTTTGACTTGAGATGTTGACCATAGACTATATATATATTAAGGATATTATGTTTCAATTTTCGTAAATTTTGGATGTTATTTGACTTAGTTATAAAAATCGAGACTTTAGATATTAATGCCGTAAAAATAAAATATTAGTTTGATTGAGATTTTAGCTGCAGTTGTGGATTATAGATTTATTATAAATCACATAGAATATGTTTATTAAATATCGGCCTGAATTGAGTTAGGATTTTCTGGAATCAAAACCCTAGTTTTATCCGGTTTCGATAACCAGGTATATTTCTAGATCCGATTTGAAAGGACTGAACCCTAGTATCGTCTGGATAATTATTAGCCGTCGTATCGTAATTCGTAATGCGTATTGTTGCCTCTTGCTGTGACCGCCTCTCGTTCGACCATTAGAGCCGAACTGTCGAGTGCATGCCCGTGCACCGAGTCCGAGTCAACCCCCGAGTGCGTTCTCGTGCACCGAGTCTATCCGACCTGACGTCTATGCGTCGTTCTGCTATACGTGGTCCAAGCATGCCCCTGCGTCAGTGACCGTGGCACTGTTCAAACTCGTGTATCGGCTAAGCCGTGTCAGTCGAGTTCGTGCCGGACCGAGTCGTCACGCCGAGCTCGGACCACGGTCAAACCGAGCTGCACATAGTCAAGCGAATGACCGACCGACTCCGAGTGAGCCGTCGGTCCAGTTCATTCGAACTGGTCCGGTCAGCTCGAACTGTTCGAAATATATTTCAGATAGAATGTCATATAAATTCTAGATGCAGTCAGATTAAGATTTCAGATAGAGTTAAGATTCAGATATAGTTTAGATTTCAGTCAGATTAGATTAAGTAAGATCCTAGTCCCAGACTTAGAAATATTTCAGAGAACTCTAGAATGCCTCAACGACGATAATATTTTCAAAATCAGCTCGTAAATCCCTAAATGATTTTTAAAGCCGAGTGAGCGAACCTAGATATATAAGATATTAAAGATTTGAGTTTTATTTTGAGCTCAGTACTTAGAATACTTTGCTCAATATATTTTGTAGCTTGAGCAGAGTCGAGCCTCCGTCAGCTACCCATTACAGATATATTCAGCATTCGCTTTCGCCAGTTTCTAGGTGGGGAACATGTACTGTGTATTTCATCGTTTTTAATTTACCATGTCTGAGATCTATATGTGATTAAATTGAAGGACCAAGACGGATGAGTGATCCCGTCTTGGTCAAGATGTCAGATGTCAGTTGTGACTTGGTTGAGTGGGCAATGCCCAGCCTAAGTCTAGCGTCTAGATGGGGTGATTAGTGCCTTTCTTGGATTTCTGTGGGAAGGGACCCCCAGAGTGTGCACATGAGTACCGGTTTACCGTTAGTCCCACAGCCAGATCAGGTTTTTCATATATATGTTGATTTTATAGTTTGTTATTAATTGTGCTGAGTATTCAGTGCCGGTTCTGGCGGAGCACCGTTGATTCCTTTGTGCTCACGCCTCCCCACTACCCTATTTTTCAGGTGATGGAGTCCCGCGAGGAGCGTGAGCAGTTATGTGGTGTTGGTCCAGCTTCAGGACATTTTTGTGAAAACATGTCATATAGTATTTGAACATGTTTGAATTATCTATGTTTGTTTTATGCTTGTGTGCTTTTCTGAATTTGTACTTGCTTCCGCATGTTGGGCTTGTGTTTCAGATGTCAGATTTCAGACTATTATTTCAGATGTCAGATTATGTCAGATTTTCAGAATATGCATGTTTTAGCCGGTATTATTCATGGCCTTAATTCTAGAATGAATTTACTTGGTCACAAGCATGATAGATTAAAGAGATAAAGATATAAGATTAAAGTTGAGTAGCATCCCGCGTTTTAAAGTTAAAGTATTTTCGAAAAAATTAATATGAGTTTTCAAAATTTAAATAAGTGCTTTCCATTTATAGCGCGAAAAATTTACTCTGATTTTAGTAAGTCTAGGCGGGGTGTTACAGTTGGTATCAGAGCCACTTAGTGGTTCTGTATACTAAAATTTTAGTGAGATATGACCACACCATGATCACGCCACGCCGACTCCGAGGTACGTCACATGTACAGCTTTTATTTGCGAATGCATATTTAGATATAGTCAGATTATTTCAGGGGCGTTAGATCTATCCTTCGATTAAGCATTGAGAATTCTAGTGAGAACTCTAGTAAGAACTTAGAATATTTTAGTGTACCCGAAACTCTAGCCAAGCTAGGTGTTTTCGAAATCCAATAACTTATGAAAGTATAGTGTAGCTATTTATTAATCGGCTATACTGCTTCAGTTAGAATTTCAGCAGAGATAGTTCACTTTGAGAATTTCTGTTAACTTTCTTGAGCAATTAATTCTCTATAAAATATTCAATACTTTCTGCTAATCCCTGTAATTTGACCTTCAGATGCCTCCTCGTCGAGCCCCGATTCCACGCCGAGCGCGGGCCTCGCCCGAACCAGCTCCGTGTCCAGCACCGCCCCCGCCGGACGCGCCAGTGCGCGATCAGGCCTTTTCAGTTTCTTAGTTCCGCGGGTATGACCCTGCGACGTTCAACGGGCAGGGAGACCTAAGGCTGGTCGATGAGTGGCTGCGCAGCCTTGACATGATTTTTGAGGTCATGGACTGCCCCGAGCCTCACAGGATCATGTGTTCACAGCTACAGATGGTAGGGGATGTAGGTCTCTGGTGGCATTCGTACTGGGAGATGCGACCCGGGGAGAAGCTGGCCCTCACTTGGGCTGGTCTGAAGGCGCTCCTCCGGGAGAAGTATTACCCAGCCCACTACAGAGAGAGGATGGAGAGGCAGTTCTTAGCACTGGAGCAGGGTGCTAGGACTATCGATGAGTATGAGAGGGACTTCACTCGCCTCGGCTACTTCGTGCCGTACCTGATTGATACGAAGGAGACGAGGGCGAGGCGCTTCAAGGGCGGTCTTCGCGGGGAGATTCGCCACCATCTCGCTGGCCTTGGCACCCTGACTTATGCTGAGACCGTTTCTAGGGCTCAGCAGATTGATGAGAGTCTCCGACTGGAGGCCATCCGTACTCGCGCCGCCCGTCTGCCAGCTCACCAGCCACCGGCACAGCAGCCAGCACAGCAGGCCCCACCGCAGCTGGCTCCTCCCCAGCAGCCACAGCGTCAGAACAAGAGAAGGGGGAGGGACCGGCAGGGTAGGAGGGTCCGACAAAGGGATCAGGCCCCAGCTCAGGTCGTACAGCCAGTTCAGCAGATTGCCCCAGCTTGTGCTACCTGTGGACGCCACCGTACAGGTGAGTGTCTTGCGGGACGAGGCATTTGTTTCCACTGTCGCAGACCCGGACACTTGAGGGGAGATTGCCCAGACAGAGCTCAGCATCAGCAGGGTCAGTGTCAGCCGGCCCCGAACCAGCCACGTGGAGCACCTGCACGCGTCCACGCACTTGACCATGCACAGGCCGTCGAGCAGCCAGGTACCATGTCCGGGATGATTTCTTTGTGTGATGTGCCTATATTTGCGTTGTTCGACACCAGGGCGACACATTCGTTCATCTCGGCTAAGTTTCTAGAGGCCGTAGGGGTCCGAGGAGTGAGTGTCGTTGACCCCCTCGAGATCAGCTTAGCTTCGGGGAAGAAGATAGTTACGAGCTCCTTGGCCGAGAATCTTAGTTGGAGTATTGGTGGCAGATATTTAGAGATGGATGCGTTCGTGATTGAGATGAGGGACTTTGACCTCATTCTCGGCATGGATTGGTTGGAGTGATATCAGGCAGACATTCGATGTTGTGATAGAGAGGTGACACTACACTTAGCAGAGGGAGATCGTATCACGTTCTTCGGGACGAAGACGAGGACCCTACCCCGAGTCATTTCGATGGCTAAGGCGACTAAGTTTTTGTAGAGAGGGAATTGCCAGGGATACCTGGTGAGCATAGTCGGGGAACCTTCGGAGGAGCAGATGCCTGGAGATGCACCCATTATGCGTGATTTCGTGGACGTCTTTCCAGATCAGCTACCGGGAGGACAACCTAGTCGTTAGGTGGAGTTCACGATCGACCTGGTGCCTGGAGCTGGGCCAGTGTCGAAAGCACCGTATCGTATGGCGCCGAAGGAGATTCAGGAGTTGAAGGCTCAGATTCAAGAGCTTTTGAGTCTCGGTTTCATTCGACCGAGTGTCTCTCCTTGGGGAGCACCTGTCCTTTTCGTGAAGAAGAAGGACGAGACCTTGCATATGTGCATCGATTACCAGGATTTGAACCAGTTGACAGTGAAGAATAAGTATCCATTCCCCAGGATCGAGGATTTGTTTAACCAGCTGAAGGGCGCCCGTGTATTTTCCCGGATAGATTTGCGATCGGGCTACCACCAGCTGAAAATCAAGGACTCTGACGTGGCAAAGACCACGTTTCGTACCCGATACGGTCACTATGAGTTTGTCATGATGTCGTTCGGCTTGACCAATGCGCCGGCGGTGTTCATGGATCTCATGAACCGTGTATTCCACCCATTCTTGGACCAATTTGTCATCGTCTTCATAGAAGACATTTTGGTCAACTCGAGGAGCACAGCCCAGCACGAGGAGCATTTGAGGATCGTGTTGGAGACTCTTAGGCAGGAGAGACTGTACGCCAAGTTCTCGAAGTGTGAGTTTTGGCTCGATCGAGTGGCGTTCCTCGGTCATATCGTTACGGCCGAGGGCATTGAGGTCGATCCTCGGAAGATCAAGGCAGTGAGGAACTGTCAGCACCGAGGTCTTTTACCGAGATACGAAGTTTTCTCGGGTTAGCAGGCTACTACATGAGGTACATCGAGGGGCTTTCGAAGATAGCCCTACCCTTGACACGTTTGACGAGGAAAGGGGCTAAGTTTGAGTGGAGTCGTCGCTGTGAGTTGAGCTTTCAAGAGCTCAAGGAGAGGTTGACTACAACGCCCTTGCTGACTATACCGGACCTACACGGAGTTTCACTATCTACAGTGATGCTTCGAAGCAGGGACTTGGGTGCGTGTTGATGCAGGAGGGCAAGGTTGTCGGATACGCTTTGCAGCAGCTGAAGCCCCACAAGAAGAACTACCCAGCTCACGACCTTGAGTTGGCAGCCGTTATTCACGCACTCAAGATATGGAGGCACTATTTGTATGGTGGTCGGTGTGAGATCTACACCGATCACAAGAGTTTGCAGTATATCTTCACACAGAAGGAGCTCAACATGCGCCAGAGGCGATGGTTGGAGCTAGTGAAGGATTATGATTGCACCATTCAGTACCATCCGGGGAAGGTGAACATAGTAGCCGATGCCCTTAGCCGAAAGGCGAGGGGCGAGTTAACTTGCATGATCACCCAGCAGAGTCAGCTCCTTCGAGAGTTCGCTCGGATGCAACTAGACGTCGTCGAGTCACTTCCTACGATGCCTGTAGTAGGAGGTGTTCGGTCGATGAGAGTGTGGCCCATGCTCCGAGACCGAGTTCGGAGAGATCAGCCCGTAGATGAGTTCGTCTGTTCCATGAGGGCGAAGGTTGTTGCCGAGGGTGTAGAGGGGTTTTACCAAGGCGCAGATGGTGCCTTTGAGTATAAGGGAAGGCCCGTTGTGCCGAATGTCGAGGCCCTGAGGAAGGAGATCTTGATCGAGGCTCACAGTGCACCCTATTTGGCGCACCCCGGCAGCACCAAGATGTACCACGACCTGAAAGGGTCGTTTTGGTGGAGGGGCATGAAGAGAGATGTTGCTGAGTTTGTGAAGAAGTGCTTGGTTTGCCAGCAAGTGAAAGCCGAGCACAAGTTTCCACCGGGTTTAGTGCAGCCCTTGGAGATCCCACTGTGGAAGTGGGAAGAGCTTACCAAGGATTTCGTTACAGGACTACCCAAATCGAGGGAGCAGCATAATGCGGTTTGGGTAGTTGTGGACCGACTGACGAAGTCGACTCGTTTCTTGCCCGTGCGGATGACGATGTCCAAGGAGCAGCTCGCGAGTATCTATATCCGCGGGGTAGTTCGACTTCATGGAGTCTCCAAGGTCATAGTGTCAGATCGAGATCCCCGTTTTACCGGTAATTTCTGAAAGAGCCTCAGCAAGGCCATGGGGACACAGTTGAGGTTCAGTACTGCTTTCCACCCGCAGACCGACGGACAGTCGGAGCGGACCATCCAGACACTCGAGGACATGCTTCGAGCATGTGTTCTGGACCGTGGTAGTTCATGGGAGGAGTTGTTACCGCTGATTGAGTTCGCGTACAACAACAGCTATCAGGCGTCGATCAAGATGGCACCGTACGAGACATTGTACGGTCACAAGTGCCGATCACCCCTTTATTGGGATGAGGTCGGCGAACGGCAGGTTCTCGATCCGAAGCTGATCGAGGACACGGTGGAGAAGGTCGCCTTGATCTGTGAGCGGATGAAGGTGGCACAAGATCGACAGAAGCGTTACGCTAATCAGCGTAGACGAGATATCCAGTTCGAGAAGGGAGATAAGGCATTCCTGAAGATCACGCCTTTGAGAGGCGTGGTCCGCTTCGGGAAGAGGGAGAAGCTGCATCCCCGTTTCTTAGGCCCATTCGAGATCCTCGAGCGAGTGGGTGAGGCCGCATACCGGTTGGCGTTGCCACCCGAGCTTTCGGGTGTGCACAACGTCTTCCACGTTTCGATGCTGAAGGATTACGTGTATGACCCAGCGCACGTGTTGAGTTACAGTGAGCTTGAAGTCGGGCAGGACCTGACGTACGAGGTGCTGCCGATTGCTATTCTGGACCGAAAGGTTCAGCAGCTGAGGAGCAGAGATGTAGCGCTCGTTCGAGTCCAGTGGACTCGCCACGGCGAGGCCGAGGCCACGTTGGAGCGAGAGGAGGAGATTTGTGCTCGTTATCCTGATTTCCAGTTCTGATTAGTACTATGTATTTTGGATTCCTAGTTTATAGTCGAGTCGGACTTATGATTAGTTTTGGAATTTCCGAGGACGGAAATATTTTTAAGGAGGATAGATTGTAACGCCCAGATTTTATATTACTATTTATGGAGCTCGACTATATTTCCATAAATATTAAGTTTCTAAATTTGATGCATTTAGTATATTAATGTGCATTAAAATAAATAAATAATATTAAAGTCTAAGCCATGAATAATTCATTCGATTTTAATTGTTAAAGTCGAAATTTTATTTAAGCAAACCGAAGCCGAATAATTTAATTATTCGAGCCCAATTAATTTTGAGCGAATCCAATAATTTTAGTCGGCCATTTTAATTCGAATAGTCGAATTAATTTCCAAGACCAAACGATATTTTAATATCGAGCCATCGTAGTATTTTAATTTCTAGGCCCATTATTAGTAATTATTTCGACCGACTAACTTAGTTAGTCCTAGTTCGATTAATATTATTTAGCAAGCCCGAGCATTTAATTTCCTAAGTTCATATTCGATTTATAGTCGAGCCCAACTCGTAGGATTTTATGGCTCGATTCCTTATCCCAATGTTGAGGCCCAACAAGATGACCAAACCCAAATCCCTCTCTCATTCTATAAATAGCACATGTATCCTATTTTCCAACAAAAAACCCTAGCCCCCACTCCACTATTCATCATCATCTTCTTTCAAAATTCAAGATCCAAACATTTCACCTTCATTATTCAAGATCTAGTAGCAAAAATCTAAAACCCACTTTCAAAACACCAAGAAAAAAGAAGCTTTCTTCCATGCCCAACATGTCTTGAGCTATTTCCGGCGAACCACCGGCCGGCGACCTCAGTCCAAGCTCAGTCCAACTCAAGCTCCTCGTACACTGGCCCGTTTAGTAAACTCCAGCTCAAATCTGCGAAGCCCGAGCTATTTTCTCGTCGAGCCCGCAGCCAAGCTCCGTCGTCCGTACAAGCCGCGCCACCCACTCAAACCGACGACCCACGTTCTTCCC